TTTGACCCTTTTGTTCTTGTCCAATCAGGTGGTGCCGTACGGTATTTGACCCTTTTGTTCTTGTCCAATCAGGTGGTGCCGTATGGTATAACCCCTTTTGTTCTTGTCCAATCAGGTGGTGTCGTATGGTATCGCCCCTTTTTTTGCTTGTCAAGTCAGGTGTGTCCCTTAAAAAAAGTCAGTCAAATCAGGTGTGTCGCTTTAGAATCGCCTTTCGTTGGGACACGCTCACTCGTCCGCAGAGACCCCTACTTGGCCTGGATGTCCATGCCACAGATTGAGCACTTCCCCCCAGCCAAAGGACAGTGACCCAGACTGACTACTTGAGCTCTGCATCCCAGAGGAGGAGCAAAACCTACTGCACCTAAATGCATAATATCAAAAATGATTGATGAGAGCGGTCCAACCTACTAGCAAGTAGAGGAGGGACAGTCTGCACACAATGTATGGGACTGATAACMTCTAATAACGMCATTTAATGTATTGACAACATTCGAAGTAGGTGCAAGAGGAAATCGTTTCAGTTCACACTAACCAGTAGGGACATGTCTTATGGTAGTTCCTCCTTAAGCTTGGATTGTACTTCAGTAAGACATGAGACAGCGGGTTGGAGATTGTGTAATTTTGGACGCCTTTTTCCTGAGCGAGTATAAATGAGCTGAAGACACGGCGGACTACAAATTATCATAGATCCTCCCTCTACCCTCCCACAGCTCATATAAGTGCATACAGAGCACTTCGCTCTCAGACTGCAGGTTTACTTGTGGTTCCTGGAGTTTCTAAAAGTAGAATGGGAGGCNACATGTTTTTTATGAGAGGATAACATTATAACATGATATAAAACTCAAGACATTTGATTTTAGATTATTTTGCCCCTTTAAGAGACCAGCCAACCAAATCCATAAAAATAAATCCATAATTTTTGGTTTCTGATCAAACACTTGCTCTGTTTTTACCCATTTTGAACTTACGTCTACACTGACATACTTTACAGTTATTAGTCTGTTGTGATTGTTTTGCACTCAAAATAGGCAAATTCTAATTCCTAATGTCAAATTCTGATAGGCAACTACAGTCTCTAAAACAAAACATATCTTTTTTTATTCTTGCACAAGCCTTTATATTATATTTTATTAGTAGTAGTAGTAGTAGTAGTGTAATTGCTAATTAATTAGTAGTAATTTTGTTTTTTGTGCACTACCTATAGTTTATAAACTAGTGTGTGAACCTCTGTACTGATGTTACTGTGACACCTGAATTTCCCCTCGACGGGACAATAAAGGCTACTTCTATTCTATTCTATTCTATTCTATTTCAGTAGTAAAGTAGGTACTCAGATTATTTTTGGTGGAAAAAGGAAAAATAGAAAACCAAAACAGAGTGTAATGCTCAGTAGACGTTACTTGACATTGATGTGTTTTAGAGTCATGAATTATCTGACTTGTTCTTAGGGAGGAGGAATAGTAAATCTAATGTAGAGACATTTTTTTAATAGGCCCCTTTTTCTGTCTCCACAGAGACATTTACAACTCTTGGCGTTAGAAAACAGCCTAGAAAAGTCCACTGTGGAGTCGTCAGGAGAAGACAGTTTTATTACAGATTAACTTTGCTGAAAAACCCCTGCAGATGTGCTGCAGTGCTCTTACAAATGGACAAACGCTATTAGAGTTTGTTTAACAATATTTATTTGAGAAAAATAGTTCTTTTATTCAGAAATGTCAAAGAAAATTGTAACAT